GGGATCGTGACCCACTTGCCTTCTGTACCTCAAAGTTCAAGAGCAGCAGCTACCAGTTTGGACATTTGGTCGATTCCTGAGGAGACCTACTCTGTGCAGGCACCTGTGCTGTACATTACTCTCATTGGCTCCCGCTCCCACCCCAACAGGGAGTTTTCTCCTCAGCAGTGCGGAAGAGGAACAGGGGCTCGGCAAGGCCTCTGCTGCTTGCCAGGAGGAATGCTTGTCACAGTCTTATGCCTTCTGGGGTGGTACACACTTAGATTCATGGGCCAACAATTGTATTCCCATGCTGATTACACACATCAGAGGCTTACACGCACACACAAACATGTTTACACTCGACTTGGAATTTCAGGGCCTGGTCCTGCTGTGTGTCTGCTAATAGCTGAGGTCCTGTCTCATGCCCAGAGGCATGACGTATGTGTGCAACTACATACAGACTCCTCTCTTTACCTGGCCCTGATGATGATGTGTTGGCAGGTGCCACGCTCTCTGTCACTGACTTGGTACACACATGAGTGAATCAGACCAGATGGCTTGCATTTAATGTTGATTGGGGAGGAAAGTCATTTTGCACAGAAGGAAATGAAATATGATGAGATACTTACAAGGGTACATGTGAAATTTACTAGGTGTAGAATATAAATGTCTTAACACAATAACTAAGAAAATGCTGTGAAGGCTATGTTAACCAGTTTGATGAAAATATTTCAAATTGTATATAAAACCAGTACATTGTACCCCATGATTGCATTAATGTACGCAGCTATGATTTAATTTTAAAAATATATATGATGTGATAGTAAGTGGCACCAGTGTAGGGTGGTCACTTTATTGTGGGTGGTCCCATAGGGCCTCTCTTAGGAAGTGACTTTTAGACTTAGCCCTAAACCATATTAAGAAACTGGCCTGTGGGCGGTGCAGTGGCTCATGCCTATAATCCTAGCACTCTGGGAGCGCAAGACAGGTGGTAATTACTAGAGTTCAGGAGTTGGAGACTAGCCTCAGCAAGAGCAAGACCCCATCTCTAAAAACTAGCTGGGTGTTGTGATGGGTTCCTGTAGTCCCAGCTACTCAGGAGGTTTTAGACAAGAAGATCACTTGAGCCCAGGAGTTTGAGGTGAGCTATGACACTACAGCACTCTACTGAGGGTGACAAAGTGAGACTCTGTCTCAAAAAAAAAAAAAAATTGGGGTAGGCATGGTGGTTCACAACTACAATCCCAGCACTTTGGGAGGTCAAGGTGGGAGGATCACTTGAACCCAGGAGTTTGAGACACAAGACCCTATCTCTACAAAAAAATTTAAAACAGTGGCTGGGTGCCCAAAACTCAGTTGTTAGGGCGCCGGCCACATGCACCAGAGCTGGTGGGTTCAAACCCGGCCCAGGACTGCTAAATAACAACAACAACAACAAAACAGCTGGGTGTTGTGGTGGGGGCCTGTAGTCCCAGCTACTAGGGAAGCTGAGGCAAAAGTATCCTTGAGCCCAAGAGTTTTAGGTTGCTATGAGCTATGCCACAGCACTCTACAGAGGGGGACAAGACTCTGTCTCCAAAAAAAAAGGAGGAGTGGCGCCTGTGGCTCCAAGGAGTGGGGTGCTAGTCCCATATGCCAGAGATGGCAGGTTCAAACCCAGCCCCATCCAAAAACTGGAAAAAAAAAATTTTTTTTTAATTAGCCAGGCATGGTGGTATGTGCCTGTAGTCCTGGCAACTCAGGTGGCTGAGGCAGAGGGTCAATTGAGCCCAGTGTTTGAAGTTACGGTAAGTTGATGCCACTGCACTCTAGTCTGGGCAACAAAGCAAGACCCTATCTCTAAAAATAAACAAAAGACAGCAGCAGTAGCAGCCACCATACAGTCTTATCCAGGTAAAGAAGGGGTTAAGAGAATGAGATTAAGGTTAAGGAGGCTGTGCAGTTGGAGGGAGGGAAGAGAGGTGAAGAGGGTAGGAGGTGAAGTTGCAGGGTGGTGGGGGCCAGACTTCTGCAGAGGGGGCCAGATGGGTAGGTGGGGGCCAGACAAGAGAGGAATAACCCATCCCAGAACCCCTGAGGCAACAGGATTTTCATGCTAAAAATAGGACAGTCACAGGCAAACCAAGGTGATTGGCCACCTTAGGTAGCAATTTGGGCTCTTTCTGTTTTCTTTTTCCCCTCCCTTCCTTAACATCCTTACTGAGACATAACTCATGTATCATACCATTCACCTACCTAAAGTAGGAGTCTGGTATATTCTAGTTTCCACTGTAGTATATTCTGAGTTGTGCATTCATCACCACCACCTATTTTATGACATTTCCATGACCTTAGGGTGTTGGGTTAGGGTCCAAATGAATAATTTGATTTTGTGGGGGAGGTGGTGGGTGGTTCTTTTTTTGAGGCAGTCTTACTCTGCTGCCCAGGCTAGAGTGTCGTGGCCTCAGCCTAGCTCAGAGCAACCTCACACTCCTGGGCTTAAGGAATACTCCTGCCTCAGCCTCTCAAGTAGCTGGGACTGCAGATACCCACAATGCCCAGCTAGTTTTTCTATTCTTAGTAGAGACAGAGTCTCACTCTTATTTAGGCTGGTCTCAAACTTCTGAGCTGATGGGATCCTCCTGCCTCAGCTTCCCAGAGTGCTAGGATTATATGCATGAGCCCAAATGAAGAATTTTGAACAGGTGAAAGTAGGGTCCTCTCCATATCCTGGGGGAGTTGAGTCAATAGGGCCTGCCACCCCCACCCTGTGCCCTGCTATTCTCAGTGGGGGTGACCAGTGTCTTCCAGCATTATGTTCCCCACTCCCCAGCGCCCCCACCCCCCAAAAATATGATGCCCTAATCTCCAGTGTCTCAGAATGTGGCCTTATGTGGAAATAGGGTCATTATAAATATTAGTTAAAACAAGGTCATAGTAGGATGGGTCCTTAATCCTAGATGACTGGTGTCCTTATGAAGTCACCATGTCTGCCTCATTCTGTGTAGGTGAGGGGGAAAGTAGCCATATGAAGACAGGGACAGAAATGGAGCATGTCATGTGAACACAGAAGCAGACACTAAAGGGCTGTAATGACAAGTCCAGGGAATCTGAAGGTGACCACCAACAGCCAGAGGCAGAGAAGGACCCTAAACCTACAAAGTCTCTGCAAACACCCTGAGTTTGAGCTTCCAACCTCCAAGAACTTTGACATGATACATTTCTGTCGCTTAAAAAAGCCATGCAGGTGGTACCTGTAGGTCAAGCGGCTAAGGCGCCAGCCACATACACTAGAGCTGGTGGGTTCAAATCCAGCCTGGGCCTGCCAAACAATGACAACTACAACCAAAAAATAGCTGGGGGTTGTGGCAGGCGCCTGTAGACCCAGCTGCTTGGGAGGCTGAGGCAAGAGAATTGCTT